AAATTAATGTCTCAGCACAAGTTTGCCTCAAGATTAGTGCTGCTTGTACGCAGACCGTCCACATAAACCCAGCTGCAAACATTGCGCGGCTGAACCTCAATGACAGTTCCGACTAGGAACGTCATTAGCTCACTATGCAAATGTCATAAGATCGGCAATGACTCGGCAAACGTTATTCACGTATTACTTCAACTTCCTCATCAACATGATACGAATTTTTAAAAATTATAGCAGGTAAAGGAAGTCAATGAGATTGATAAAACCAATCAAATGTAGTAAACAAGAGAGCCGTGAGCCGCTTACAGTTATAAAAAAAAACCTATTCAAAGTTTTCAAACAAAATGCAAGTGTTAAACGAAAATTCAAGACAATTAGATGACATTGCCTTTTAAGGAATTTTTTGCATTTTAGATTGCGGCAAAGATTTTTTTAGAGAAGATGATTTCAAGCGCAGCCTTGAGCGAATAACGAATAATCAAAGGAAATTTAGCAAGAACACATCCATCCATCACACATTCCAAATGAAATGATATAGCGAATAAAAATAGCAAAAATAGAAAGATTATGTCCAAATTTGCAAAGGCCTAAACGCAAGAAGTACCCTTTATTTAATTACTGATATAGATCCTGCAGAAAAATTCTTACCTTTCCAAGGTACTGGTCAACATGAAACTCCTCCTTCGAGTATTCATCTACAATGCGATCACCCGGCTGAAACAATGATGGTCCACCATTAGTGGGATCACGTTCTCGTGAATCGGCTCGACCATCTCGACATTCTGCTGGATTTACGGCAAAATGTGCTGCACGTTCGGGTAGGACGCCCGAATGCGGCGAATATGATTGTTGTAGCCGCACCATTTATGGAATTTGTGTCTTCGGATGTTAGATCTCAACACACACACACTGCGATGGTTTCGATCTGGAAATAAATGATTCACTCAAAGTGTTAACGGGAATCTGCCGAAGAAGAAAAAATGCGCACGAAACAATTAACACGAGCAGTAGAGGAGAGCTGAGTGCGCGTCACGACAAAGCCAATTCGCTGCAATTCAGATCGTGCTAAAAAAA